GTGAGTGCTGTAGTTGTCCTTTATGAACTTATGAACAGCAGAAGTGCCAAGCATGTGGGGTGCGAGGGAAGGAGCTCCAGTGAGGGCACCCTGTCGAATGAGACACTGAACAAACACAGGCGGTGAAATTCACGGTCTCCCTCATAAAGTATGTAACTGGAAAGTCTAGTTCCAAGATACTCATCTGCAGCAGAGGCTCAAGGGAGTGGCCCCAGCTTCAGCAGAGCCATTCTTGCGTTGCACACGTCCCTCCTTTCCTCTGGTGGCTATGTGAAGGGCACTGTACCATCCCATGAGGGCATGGCGCCATGGCACAATTGGACCCATGCTCTGCCCTTATCATTCAGAACAGAGGCTCCAGAGGTACCCAGGGGCACATGGGTAGCTTAAACGGTTAAGTGCCAGACTTGGGCTCAGGTCATGATCTCACAGTCAGTGAGTTCGAGCCCCGCGTGGGGCTCTGTGCTGACAGCTCAGAGCCTGGAGCCTGCTTGGGATTCTGTGCCTCCCTCTCTCTCTGCCCCTCTCCTGCTGGCGCTCTGTCTCTCTCTCTCTCAAAAATAAATTAACATTAAAAAAAAAAAAAAAGAACAGAGGCTCCAGGCCTTATGACAATGGGAAAGGTCCACTGTGTCCTTATTCTTGTTTCCCTCCGATGAGTGTCTGCTAAATGCACTGCTCTATGCTTTCAGCTTTGTCTTGTCTTTTTTAAAACTGTCCTCTTTCTGATAGCCATTCTGAGTATTTATATCGTCACATCATTCACAGAATTCCCTTTCACATGAGGCTTCCCAGAGTACCATTTTTCTATGCCAGTGAGAGCCAGATCACCAAAAGCTGCAGGCTGAAGCCCAGTGAGCCAGTGATGGGGAATATAAAGTTACCACAGCATGTGGACCCTTAGAGGTCAGGAAGTTACTTATTTGAATATTACTCACTGTTGGAATTTTTTTTTTTTGAACATCCAGTAGACAGATCACATAATATAATGGTCTTCACATATATAGATGAGGTAGTTGATACAAAGATCTCTTCTACCACCATCATGACCTCCTGCACAGTAGGAACTGTGTCTTGTTCGTCCACGTATTCCTCACAACATCTAGCTGTGATGAGTTCCAGAAATGGAGAAGTGCAGTGAGCCAGCACCACCACCTGTAAACTTCAGCTGAGACAGAGAGCTCCTTTCCTTCAGCTGGAACAGCCTGGACTAAATTGTTATCTGTTCTTGTTGTTTATGGAGGAAATTTTCGAGAGTCAGGGGAGTTGTTTACCTGAACTTAGGAAGGGCTTTCTAGCCTAATGATTCCCTGGAAGTGTTCGGATACTGTTCCAATACATAGGTACATCCAATAATTCAACAGTTTAGAAGTCATTATTTTAAAACAACAGTTGGCAATAAAGTGTAAAAAACATAAGCCTGAGATTTAAATGGCTTTGAATAAAAATGCAAACAAATGAGGTAAGTAGGCAGTTAGATTAAAGTAATTTGACCAAGGCCAGTTGGAATTCCTGCCTAATGTTGAGAGGAACAGTATTTTAAAAAAGAATGTAATTACTTCTTGCTGACACTGATTGAGTGAGAACTGGCTAAGTAAGATTCCGGAAAAAAGGAGGAGAGAAGAGAAGGCACAGTTGTACTAATACAAAGAGAAAGCGATCAGACAACAGCAAATTTACTTGAGGCTGGGGAAAATGTAGGGAAAGTGAAAGAAAGGGAAAGACGTGTGTAATGGACAAGCTCTAGTTCTTTCTCTCAAAGTTTCTGGATACATTTCAGAGGGGTCAGCTTTCTCCCCACTCAGCCCTTCATCTTACCACAAAAGGTGCAACAAAAACAGTTGGGAGGAACAGAGCAACTGATGGCCAGCTGCCTCCCACAGCACCTCAAAAATGTCTGAATCTGGAAATAGGTCGATCATCTGCACATTGTTTGGTCCGTAGTAAATTCCACCCCCCCCAAAACTGAACTAATAAAATATCCTTGAAAAATGAATCTACAGTTACACATTTTAGACAGATGCTTGGAGTCAGGCTAACAACAAGGAACTGACTTTTCCTCTTTGGCACCGCAAGATGATTGTGTAACACGTTCAAGCTGATGGGAACACTATTTAAGCTAGAGTAACACACTGCAACTGATTCTTTCAAAAACCATCAAGAACCAATCACCCAAACTTCCAATAGCTTGGTGAAGTTTTCCTCAACCTTCCAATGAGGACCAGTCAACGTCAGCGCAGAAAAATTTTTACCAGCAAAACGATTTTTACAGTCAAGTCTGTTAATACTGGTTTATTTGCAATCCAACTCCCTGAAGACAGCAAACCGTGGTATTGGCTGCCCTCTGCAGTGGGCTGGTGAAGTCAGCGAAGTATCAAGATCAAGAAAATGCCAAATACATGCAACTAATTCTCCTTGAAATGCAGAAATGCTGGCAAGGGAATGACTTAAATCTACGATTTTTAAAGACGAGGGTATGTGGGAAAGTTAACACACCACCTCCACAATCCCTCAACCCCAGCATGATGTTTGGTTGTTTTCTGGGCAAGAGTAAGCTTGCTTGTTGATTTAAGACATCATGGGAATGTCTGAGGTTAATGTCCTTCATTGCTAAATCAAAAGCCAACCACAGCAGCAACACTTAGAAGCTTCTCAGAGTTCCCTGCACCGAGAATTTCCACGGTGTATGCTTTTTAAAATATGTCCACAAATTCTTTGAAACTACTCCTGTGGATAAATGGAGTCTAATTTTCCTTCCCTCAAATATGAGCTGGGCTTAGTCACCTGGATCCAATGAAGAACAAGAGGTCGGACGTGGCATGATGGTACTTCTGCAGGTGGGTTATAAAAGGAGACACAGCATCTGCCTAGCTCTCTTATGAGCTGCTCACCATTGAAATCCGGCTGCCATGCTATGGGGAGGTCAGGCCAATGGAGGGTACGCCAGCTGACAGGCCTACCCGAGGTCCCAACTAGCCATCAGCATCAACCAATTGATCCTATGCGTGTTATCTCAACCATGTGGAGTGTGGAAGTCTTTAAGAAGAGTCCAATTCTGGCCACATCTGACTGTAACCACATGAAGAGACTCTAAATGAAAACCACCTAGCTGAGGTTGGTCAACTCCCAAACCCGTAAGTCATAATAATAATAATCAATAAGTGTTGTTTTTTTAAAAGAGAAGTCTGCAAACTGAGGCCTGGTGGTAAAATCTGGCCTGCAACCTGTTTTTCTACAGCCTGTGAGATCATCTGGGTTTGGTACATTTTTAAAGGGGTGTAAAAGAAACAAAACAAAGCAAAGAATAATATGTGACAGAGACCATATGTAGCCCTTAAATCCTAAAATAGTTATTCTACGGCCCTTTACCAAAAAAGCTCCTTAAACACTGTCTTAAGCCACTAAGTGTACAGATGGTTTATTATGTAGCAACAGATAACTGGAACGCATGGTGTCTTTGGAACATAATAAGAGGAATCCATGGACAAATGCTGGATTTATAGCATCATAAAATTCACACTGAAAAGCCGTAAGTCAACAGTTACCTGAAAGTCAATACTTACCCTATCAATAATTGCTATCATACAATATTATAATTTCATAAACACACTTGCTCAACCAAAGCAAAAGTGAGGATAATGTGATTCTTCAACCAAGGAGAGTATTTCAAATAGGATCTCACATTTGATTCTAGGTGAAACTTCTAGACGAATCATCTAGATGATTCTAGATGAAACTTCAAATTCTTGGAGAATTATTAATAACTTCAGCAAACATAGCTGGCATTTGCTGAGTCCTTACTATGTTTCAGATGTCATCCTGAACTATTTTATATGTATTATTTTATTTAAGCCTTGTGACAACACTTACAGTTTACATATGAGAAAACTGAGGCACAAGGAAATATCTAATATGTCCAAGATTACACAGGTAGTAAGTGTGGGGCCAGAATTTGAATCCACGCCCAACTTGCATCCATGAACTTAACTACCACACTCTGCTGCTCCTCTCCAGAAAATGTCTAAGTAAGATATTGGTCTATGTTTAAAGCTGTAGCTGGCTTCCATAGGGAGGGCAGCATCCCTTGACCTCTCTGACCAGACTTCCCTGGGGTCTAGTCAAGGATGCTGTCCACCCACTAGGAACCAGGCCTGGAAGTGGGTCTCCATCCCCCTCCCTTGCAACCCAGGATCTTCAATGACACTAACTTTTCTGCTGAGAGGATCTGAAACTCCTAGTCCAGCCCAAACTATGGCTGGTTATAAGTTCTTTCTTCCAAACCATCAAAGACTTCCTCACATTTGTCCTCTGGTTCCTGTCAATCAACACGTGGAAAATTATGCTTGTCAAAGGGATGACTGTCAGGGGAGACACTATATAAGTTCTTCAATCCTTGCCCTTGACTAAATAAAATCAACAGACTGATCGAGAGCTGATCAATATTGAAAAGATATCCAGAACTTTGTTAGGGCCAGTGATCATGGAGAATGAAATCAGTATCACTTTCTTCATCTGTGAAGTAGGACTGGTAATACCTATCTTTATGATTTGTTGTATAGACTAGAGCCAAATTATACAAAGGGCCTAATCCAGTGTCTGGCATTCAATTAATGGTGACCACAATTACTGTTATTTTTAACATAGAACATGCCTCTCTTTCAAAGAGCTGCTGATTGGCCAATGATATTTCACTGAATAACTGGAAAAGCTGTTAATCACAAAGATCCATATTCACAAAACAAGACATAGAGTCAGAGCTGCTGTTACCCATTGGGTTACACATTTCCCACCTCCCTTTGTAATAAGCCTTTTCCACGCTGGAAGGTGTTGTTTTAATTATTTATAAAAATGGTCCCTTCACATTAGTGTTTCCAACTGAACTTGGCACAAACAACTGGACATCAGTGTAAGGAGGAGAGGGCAACACTCTGACTTTGACAACATGCCAAGGCCACCTCAGCACAGTGACCAAAGTCATGGTACAGCACCTGTCTACTCACCAGAAGGGAAAGACAACGAGGCGGCTGATGAAAAATATGGCGGAGAAGATGAAAAACAGCGCGTTACAAGTTTGCTTCCATCCAGCATAAGAAAACATCTTCGCAGACTGAAAACAAAAGAAAGCAATTGCGTTCAGATAAAGTGATTTCGTATAAAATTCTTCAATTAAATATTCATAAACGAAATGATACGATGATACCATTAAAGGGTTGGGTCCTGGATCCAAACTTGAACATGTGGAAAACTAGAGGGTCAGGAACATGCTTGAAGAAGGCAAAGGCACCTTCTGAGTAAGAGTGATCATGGATATTGGGGCTATTTTTTCTTGCAAAGAAAGAGCTAAGAAAATGACCTACCAGCTCTCTTGAGGAACCTGAAAGATCAATAGGCACCATCTTTAGGAGGGTCTAAACAGGGGCAAAAGTTGTACCACGTCTGGGTTCAGACAGAACTTGCCCAAGAAGACAAACACTAAAACCAACTACTCAAGGAAGCTGTGGACTAGGCACCCTCTGGAAAATATAAAAAATGAGCCCCATTCCACTACTTCATGCTGCCTCTTCCCAACTGGCCTTGCTCGTTGAACCTCAAGTTAGATCATGGCTTGTGAATCAGAAATGATTCATGATCACTAACAACATGAAGCTGTTCTCATAGTTTATTCACGAAGGGACCTCTGAGTTTGACATTTCATTTTTCTTCTGTTCTTTTTTTTTTTTTTTTCACCTAAGAACCCCAGAACATTTTCAAACAGTAATGAGCTAAATTTCACAATATACCCTAAGGGGTAGATATGACTTCTCATATTACAGCTGAGGACAGAAAACAAAGCATTAAGTGATTTGCCCAAATCACCCAGGGAGTTCTGTCGTGTCAGTGATAAGGTGGGGGAGGGTGGACAGGGACAGCCCAGTGCTTATTCCCAGTCCCAACAGCTAACTCCCTTTTAACAACACAGTGAAGCTGTTTTACAGTGGACGTACACCAAAGGCTAGAGGGCTTAGAAGCAACAGAGTAGCATAAAATTCTTAAGTCATGGCCAATATGGTTTTAGTTTACAGGCAGGGTTACCGAGATATGATCAGAGAAGGAGGTAATTATAACAGAGATGGCTACATTCAGACAGCGATACATGGGAAAACTGGAATAATCCTTCTTTTGCTAAGCCATTTGCTGCCCTGAATAATCTAGACCCTTAGAATGGGATTTACATGTCTAACTGCAATTGCATAGAAGAAACAAAATTCTGTGCACATCTGATATTATAACAGTAGCCAGTTGCTTCAAAATAGCTTCAAATGACTTCTGGTTACATCTAGAAAAGGGTTTAGCAAACTACAGTCCAGCCTATGGGCTAAAGCTTGTCACTCCTTAAGGATGGGTTTCACTTTTTAAAGGGGTATGAGAAAATAAAAAACAAAAAGAATATATGGCAAGAGATCCTATGTTGCCCACAAAGCGAGATTTACTATCTGGCTCTTCACCAAAAAGTTTGGTGAACGCTGCTCTAGAAAAACAAGATCCTATCAAATTTAATTTCTTCCATACCAACCTATATTCAGGCGATCCTGAACATGAAACGGGTTGGCATCATTTTCCTCAGCTGTATTATAAGCGAAGGTATTTAAAGGACACAGGAAGTGGCTCTGGGAAATGTGACCCTAAGTACAGCAGGAGAGCTGGCCGGGAAGAGGACCCTCGGATCACTGCCTCGGGGCAAACGGGAACCAATACGTAACAGAAACATGTAGAGAAAACAATCCTAATTTTGTTTTGTTTCTCATATTTTGTGTTGTTTGGGATTAAGAAGACTCTTGCTTTAATGTCCCCTGCTCCAAAACATTCCTTCCTTAGAAAAGAAATGTCATTTAAATAAACATCAGCTCTCATTCCTTAAAGCTGGAGGACCATCCGTGTGGGGGAGTGCAAGCATCCAATGGGTGTTCAGCTTTGGCTTAAGGAAATATATGGTATCATCCAATATTAAGAATCCATAATGCCACAAATCCAAGGTTTCCTTTTCAAAGATTAGAGTTCATTCCTTCCTCAGAGAAATCAGTGTACTTTCTGAGCTAGTATCTGCGTGCGACTTTCGCAAGTGGGATCCCATGAGTTAACCTCTCTCAAGTACCCTGGAGAAGGATGGAAACTAAAAACTAAAAGATTTCCTTTCTTGAAGCCTGGAGACATCCTCAGACTTCGGGTGTTTTCACGACAGAGAGCCCTGCTAAATCACTCACAGACAATTCTTCCTGGGACGAGACACAAAAACCCGGGACGTGGTATTGTTATTACTTTTTTTAATGGCAAAAGTTTACCTCCAGCCAAATGTCAGCCACGTCATGCACGATCATCACGAGGGTCCCGCTGCGGATATAATTAGCACACCAAGAGAAGCTCATCAAACTAATAGCAGCCAGGTGGTGGATGACATGAGCTAGAAAATCCTATATAATGAGAGGAAAATAGCGGCTATTAAGCAAATGCAGTTATTTCCTAATCACTGGAAGAGCTAACAACAACAACAACAACAACAACAATAATATTTTTAAAAAAACCCAGTAACTTACATCTGAATGTTTTGAAATTTGTAAAATGCTTTCACTTTAATTCTTAAACACAATGCTTGCAAGGGAACTAGCACATATTATCTGCATCACTGAAGTCACTGAACTCTGAGACAGCATTGAATACTTGTCATCTAAATCCTAAACATCTCCTAACATCTTTCCACTGCCTCACACTGGATATACATACACATCCCATCCCATATACATACTTACATGAGTATATTCCTGTGTATATTTACATCTATCACTTATTCCCTGTCTAATTCCAACAAGGGAAAAAGACAGATACACAATATAGTGAAACTGTACAACCATTAAAATAAGAGTTGCTGCATATGAAACAAGTAACAAATGAAAGTGTAACAAATATATTCGCAAATCTAGGCTAAAGAAAGCTATTGCAGTTGAACATAAAACCTTAAAAGGTTTTCTGCAAACAAAATATACAAATGGCCAACAAGTACACAAAAAAGACACTCAACCCATGGGCTGTCAAGAAAATGCAAATCAAAACCACTTCATCCCCACTAGGATGGCTATAATAAAAATGATGAAGAAAAATAACAAGTGTTGGCAAGGAGGAAGAAAAACTGGCATGCTTATATATTGCTGGTAGGACGTAAAATGCTACGGCTACCTTGCCGTTGCTCAAAAGGTTAAATATAAAATTATCATATAGCCCAGCAATTCCACTCTTAGGTATATACCCAAGAGAAATAAAAAATATCTCCATGCAAAAACTGGCCTATGAATGTTCACAGCAGCATTATTTCTGGCAGCCAAAAAAAGAAAACATCCCGAATAGCCATCAAGTGATAAATAGATGAATAAAATGTAGTATATCCATACAGTGGACTATTATTTAGCAAATAAAAGGAATGAAGTATGGATACATGCTTCAACATGAATGAACCTTGAAAACATTATGTTAAGTGAAAACCAGACACAAAAAACGATTTGTTATATGATTCAATTTACACGAAATATATAGAAGAGGAAAATCCACAAAGACAGAAAGTAGATTAGTGGTTGCCTAGGGCTGAGGAAGTTAGGAGGAATGGGGAGTGACTGCAAAAAGGTACAGGATTTCTTGTTGGGGGTGACAAAAAGGATATATTCAAAACCACTGAACTATGTACTTTAGATGAATGGATTGTAGTATGCAGACACCTCAATAAAGATGTTTTAAAAAAACTTAAAGATTTCAGTTTCCTTGTAGCCAAAGTAAAAGAGTAAATATGATACTACTAATAACAGCCTAACTTATTGAGCACTTACTGTATACCAAGAAGTGCTTTGTATGGGTGAATCTGCTTAATTCTCATAATAACCAGAGACAGGAACTATTTTTAGCTCTATTTTACAGATGAGGAAATGAAGATCAGGCGGTTTAGCCAGTTAGCTTGAGATGTTAGTGAGTGGTGAAGTCACGGATTCAAACCCAGGCGTTCCAATTCCAGAGCCTGTGTTTTACCCCCCTCCCGATAGTTGTAGGTCTCGTATGTCTCTGAAGACATGTATTTACAAATATATGACATATATTTACATTTAATTTTTGAAAAGGTACCCAATGCACTTGTATGTAATAAAGAGAAACCAACTACTGAAAAATCAAAAGTGGGAGAAAGACAGGATCGTTATAGGATCAACCCACCTTAGTATATCTATGAAGACCTTCTAAAAAGTGATTATTTTCAATTCTCTCTCTTGAGAAAATGGCTCAAACAATTTCATTTTGATGTATTCTTAGCCCAAACTAAAGTTAATGACAGTTAATCCACAGCTATTATTAAGTGTGTGGGAAGGAGATTGTTTCCATCAGATTTTTTCATAATATGTTCTTAGACTTACATTCCAGAAGTTTTCTGTTAGATCTCCAGTTAACTGCAGTTGATTGAACCCCTTAATGTGGACAGTGGACACTATCACACCCCCAAACATCATTTATTCAAGCCAATTGGTCTTATCTCCTTAAAACTGAGTTCAACTTAACTTTATTTATCACACAAATTTGGTTACAAACTGACTTTTAAATAGAGTATACCATATGAAGTATATGCCAAGAGTATCATTTGATATGTGTTGCTAACATAGATGATGAAATCTTGTGATTGCATTGAGATTCTAATATGGTTTTCTTTACCAGCAAATGGTTCCTAAACAGTTCCTAAAACGCCTCACTTTGTTATGTGGGAGGATACATTTAGCATGCCTGTAACTCAATTTCCCTGCATATAAAGCAAAACTAATCATGCCTGAAGCAAAGTTTCCTTGTAAAGATCTTGGATGAATTAAGGGCAGCATGTTTTTAAAACCTTTTGAGTACATCAAAGAATTACATAAGGTGGGTTGTAATCAACTAAAGGATGTGGCCGCAGAATTAAAACTACTAGGACCTAAAGAACATCAAATTCCCAAACCAAAAGAAAAAAACATCACATAACGGAGAGTTCTCTTCTCACTGAACAAAAGGCAGGGGGGGGGGGGTCCACATTAAAGTTTCTCTAATGTTTCACTACAAAAACCCGCCAAGGCACCAAAGTATGAGCAAGATTTGCATTAATCTATGTGATATATAAAATGCAAAAAGGCTATGAACTGAAACTACACACATGGAAGAATACAATTTAAAGACTAAGATTTGGGGGGGAGGGTAAAAATTTTTGAAGAAGTACAATAAGTAGTTTTGTAAATAAGATACTTACCTTCCTCTTGACATCAGAGCCAAAGCTAAATATCAGAGACCAATAAAAACTCATCTCCAAAATGTAGTACCAGTACTGAGAAGGCAGCAAGGGCTGAGGAAAATGAGAAATGAGAAAAATTCACTGCTTTAGCATCATCAATAACTCATCATAAGGCATTAAACTATTGTTTATACCTATTTAATTCCACAAAATTACAATGCTTTAAGATTTCAATTTCTGAAAAGGAATCAAAGATAATATTTCAAGGCATTTTATTTCCAAAAGGGTAAATAAAAATTCAAAAATCAAGTTAAATGTTTTATTTAAAAGTTTATAAAACTATGGAGTGCCTGGGTGGCTCGGTCGGTTAAGCACTCGACTCTTGACTTTGGCTTAGGTCATCATCTCACGAACCATGAGATCAAGCCCTCTGTGCTGACAGCTCAGAGCCTACTTGGGATTCTCTCTCTCCCTCTCTCTCTGCCCCTCCCCCACTGACATGTGCACATGCATGCTCTCTCTCTCACTCTCTCAAAATAAATAAACACTTAAAAAAAAAAGTTAATAAAACTACCACAGGTTTGATTGCATTATTTTAGTTGATTAAAAGTTAAATTAGGAAAAAAAATTCAAAAATCTTTACTTAAGAATATTGGCCAGTCTGTTCTGCTATTCCCATAATTTACCTTGTTTTATGTTTCTTGAATACTATTCAAAATTTGATGTCCTAACCTCTTTCCTGGTGACAGTTAAGTAATCAGAATTGGCCTATTCTAAAGAAGGGCAGTAATAAAATATACACAATTATTTAAATACTCCAAAAATGTCTTCTGAAAAAAAATTTCTACATCTAGAATTTTACTTAATAATGTTATAGTGTGTGTATGTGTGTGGGGTGCCTATTTTAGGTAAGTTGATATATTACTTGGTGTAATGGATTGTTACATTAATGCCTCCAGTGAATTTCACCTTCTGATATCCATGCACTGGTATAGTCTATGTGACCATGAACTTGATCTTGGGCTTTGGTCAAGGATCATAAGCAAATATGATGCAAGCAGAGAGTCTATAATCACCAGGTAAGAAACCTGAGCTATCCTGCTGATAAGAACAAAGTAGAGGATCAAGGTGCCCACTGCCAAAAATATGAACCAGGGACATGAACCATCCCCTAATCAACCCACCAACCAACTGAAAAATGCATGCACGAATTCATTTAACACAACATGGAACAGAAAGAACTGCTCAGTTGAGCCCAGCTCAAATTGTTAACCCAAATCACGAGCAAATAAATGGTTGTTGTTTTAAGACACTGTATTGAGGATGGTTTGTTAGGTACCAATAGATAACTAACATACCTAAGAAGTTCAGAGTAAGTTGGAAGCAGAAGAATAAGACTGGAGTTTGGCCTACATAATGCCTGAGTATCTTATGGTCTAACCTTTGATTCTTTAATACTGAAGCTAACATATTAAAAGGAATAATTTTCTGGTCAACTAATCATCCTCAGTAAGGCCATAAAAGAATGAGACAGCTGCTGCTTTCTTCTATGTCAGACAAGCACCTATGAGACTAATTCTCCTAGTGAGAATAACTAAAAAAAAATCCGGGTAAAATGCATAAAAATATCTGTGAGAAGGCATCAAAGAGCAAACAAGGCATCCAGAACCTGTGAAGCTAAGAGTTCAAAGAGAAAAATGCATTAAAAGTGAATCCTTTATTTCAAATGCATCCTTAATTCAAGAAGTACTACAGACCCTAAAGAGGATAAATTCAAAGAAAACTACACCTGTGTATAGCATTAGTGAGTATTTGTCAATTTATAAGCAGTATGGACCCAGAGACTAAGAAGTAGAAGAAGTTAAATGGACTTTTGGCAATCTCATACTGCTAGGATGCAAATTGGTACTCAGGGCCAGCCAAGCAAGAAGAGTCCTGGCAAACGCTGTAGTCTTTTATTAAAACCACTAGGAAAATATCCTAGGAATATGGGTAAGTTGTAAATACATCTGCCCTCAAAAAGACTGGAATCAACCTTGAATCAACTCAATCACATATAAGATGAAGGTGATCTGTCTCTATTCTAACTAATTGAAGTGAAAGTAAATCTTCTCAAGAGGAAGATAATATTATCCTGAGCATCTATACTTTTTCATATACAATATCTATCATTCACTAGAAAGTTATCAAGCACAAGGAGATAAGAATAAGAAAATAGAACAGACCCATAGGTGATGAAGACATTGGATTCATCAGACCAGGACTTTAAAATAACTTTGAAAACTTGGTTAATAGGTGGAAAATTTCAGTAAAGAACTGGAATCCATTTAAAAAAAGAATTAAATGAAAATTTGAGAACTGGAAAACAGAGTAACTATAATTTATAAGATATATTTAACAGCAGTTTAGACACTGCTAGAAAAGACACTAGCAAACTAGAGGACACGAAATACAATATATCCAGATCTGTGAAGGATCTGAGATTTTACCCTACTTGCAGGATAGCTTGCCACAGTTTCATGGATAATGATTGAAGATATGAAACTCTGGGGTCAGAGATAAAGAATAGTTCATTATTCACAACAATAGTAGTTGCCAGAGTATCAATATTTGGGCCAGTTCTCCCATCTTAATTCATGTAGGGCTGGAAAAAAAAAAGGGTCAGATGACATCTGCACATGTAATGGGTTGTATTACAAGAGAGGAACACTGAGCTAGGAAACCTGAATCTTTCATAATAGATGGTAACATGCCTACCCTTTGCTCCAGAAGGAGACATTTCTATTTTCCCAGGTTGTCTGTTATATAAACATCCTTGAGAAGATAGCACAGAACAAAAGGCAGGCAGTGCTTCATTTGACATGCAAAAATGCAAGAAATCTGTGGAGGATTAACTCCCAAGAGACTAAAGCTCAGAGAAGCAAGAGGATAGAAAACACTGGAAAAAGCAAAAGAGACATATGGGACTTAGTGTAAAGGTCTAGCATGTTAGTACACCTGTAACTGGAATTCCAGAAAGAGAAAAGAAAGAGAAAGGAACTAAAGTAATGGCTAAGAGTTTTCCTTTCTTTTTAAAAAATGTTTTGTTTATTTTTGAGAGAGAGAGAGAGAGAGCAAGCAGGGGAGGGGCAAAAAGAGGGAAACAAAGGATCTGAAACAGGCTCCATGCTGACAGCAGAGGGCCCAATATGGGGCTCGAACTCACAAACTGTGAGATCATGAACTGAGCTGCAGTCAGATGCTTAACTGACGGAGCCACCCAGGTGCCCCAATGGCTGAGAATTTTCTAAAACTGACTGAAGATATCACACCACAGATTCAAGAAGTACTATGGACATTAAAGAGGATACATTCAAAGAAAACCACATTTATGCGTATCATAATAAAATGTGAAAGACAAAGACAAGATATAGAACTCAGAGAAAAAAGACATTTTGTTCAAAGAGGCAAAAATAAAAACTGACAGCTGAATTCTTAAAGAAAATTATGGGATCCAGAAGGCAATGGAATGCCATTTTCAAAGTGCTAAAGGAAAATCACTGCTAACCTAGAATTCTATACCCAGGAAAAATATCCTCTAAAAAATGAAGGCCAAGTGATAACATCTCAGAAAAGCAAACCAGAGGGACTTCTTCAGCCAGAAGGATAATCATCCCAGATGGAAGCATGGAAAAGCAAGATACAAGGCATAGCATTGGGAGGGAGATTTAACTGATTTACAAAACAATAACAGCAATGACTTGTCAGGTTTTAAATATTTGAAGGAGGAAATAGGAGGGGGATATATACAAAGTATTCTAATGACTGTTCAGTGGCTGGAAAGAGGTAAGAGCACTAAGTTTTATTAGACTCCATCCAATAATTTAAAAATGCACATGGTGATCTCTAGGATAAATACTAAAAGAATAAAAGCTAACTGAAAAGCTAATATAAAGAAAAAAGTGGAATAATAATTTTTTTTTCAAAAACTTGACTGGCCCATAAAAAAGTAAGAAGAGAGTACAATAAAAGGAAATGCACTAGGTGGTACAATTAGAAAATAAATAGTAAGATACTAGATTTAAACTCAAATATGTAATTGCATTAACCATAAACAGACTAAAGGAAAAACACACGTGACGGGTAAATAAGGAATAAGGAGGAGTAAGCTTCAGTAGAGAAAGAGCCAAAGAATTGCACAGACATGGACAGAGAGTAGGAAGGGGGCTCGGACCTAACTCATGGGACAATTTAAGGGGCCCAAAGCTGACATAAGGCAGGGAGCGTATCACAGGGGACTTACCTGCCTGGGATAGCCATTCCACACTTCCCACAGGTCATAAACCCAAGGTTTCTGAAAAAGACAAAAAAAGGAACCAAGGGAGAGAAAATAAGTCTTTGGAGTCAAAGGCAGATTTCAGCAGAAAACATAAGCTCTTCCTGATGTCACTGATGGGGGGCACACATGCACAGTAAACTGTTGCTCCTGCTGAACCTCTCTCTCTTTGTACATCTTCCCATACAACATATCTGTGATGCTCATGACTTCCAGTGAATCTGGGACCACACACCTTGCTGTCTCATGCAGGGAATTATTCAAACAAGCGAAACCTCTAATGATATTACTTCCGAACCAGACTGCTGTTTCTGCAGCAATAAAAATATCTTGAAAGAAATCTTTAAAAGCTGGTTATCTTTTTTTTTTCTGTGAACTATCTATCACTTAATGAGGTAATCATTTAATAACTATTTAAGCAGACAATGCAAAGGTAATATGGGAAGGGAAGATTTCTGATGAGTGAGTACCGAGTCTTGATAGAACAAGTGGGATTCGATATGGCAGGGATGGGATTTGGCAGGTAGATAGGGGTGGGAAGGGCAAGAAGTTTCTGGAAAAGGGGATGAAATGTGCTAAAATCCAAAAGTGAGGATATACCAGTGTGTTCAGTGGATTGTTAGTAGTTCAGGGGTAGCTGGCACATGGGTTGTGTGAGTGGAAATAGAGAGAGATTAGGTTTAAGACTTATGTTTGCAAAAAAAAAAAAAAAAATAGTATTTGCAAATTCAAAGCTTAACAAAGGCTCTGAAAGACAGCCTGAGGGTTTCTGACTTCTCTAGACATTAGGATGACTTTAAAGGCATAAAAGCTGGTTATTTTACTGAGAATATTATTTCCCAAGGAATTCACAGGCAAGAATTTTTAAAATTAAAGACAAATTCCAGTCAAAGAATATCAAAGAGACAACTTACATCATAAAGAAATACAATTCCAGCAACAGTCATTATTAAGTAAAATGTAAATCGCCAGCTGCCAAAAGAAAGAAAAATCTTGTGAAGGTGATTGACATCTGAGGAGAAACGCACTTTGTATGACAGTTTGGAAAGAATGCACGGACAAATCTAATGTGACATCCTGACTCTGCCACTTGTTAAATGGCTGAAACTGTAGGTTAGCCTTAATTTCTTCACCTATAAAATGGGAATGACAAAAATTACCTCAAACTGCAGAAAGAATTGAAGCTAATTTGTGAAAAGTAAGCATCTGGTATGAAGTAAGCAACAACAGGTGACTACTATTATTACCGTTAGTATCATACCTGACATACAATAAACCCAGTTCCTGACACACAATAGACAGTGGGTTGACATTAGTATTAATCTAATCGTTTATTTGCACCCCATGTAATCCCCAGTGAAAAGGTTTCCATGTGGCCAGATTTTCGTCTTGTCTCTGAAAAGCAGATTTTGAAAGAAAATCTTTTCCTCATGTATGAACAGAGACTTAAAAAGACATATCAATCAACTGTACTGTGTGGGTTTTATTAAGATCCCAATTCAAACAAACAGACTGTAAAGAAAATTATGAGTCAATCAAGGGAATCTGAACACTGATTAAATATTTACTGTTATTAGAGTTTTTCTGAGGTATGATACTGGTGTTGCAATTTTGTTTAAAAAAACAGAGTATCTCTTGGAGATACATACTGAAATATTTATAGTGAAGTCATATAATGTCTGATATTTGTGTCAAAAGTAATCCTCAAGGGGCACCTGGGTGGCTTAGTTGGTTAAGCATCTGAGGTTCGGCTCAGGTCATGATCTCAAGGTCCATGAGCTGGAGCCCCACATCAGGCTCTGTGCTGACAGCTCAGATCCTGGAGCTGTTTCAGATTCTATGTCTCCCTCTTTCTGCCCCTACCCGGCTCACACTCTGTCTCTCTCTCTCTCTCTCAAAAATAAATAAACATTAAATTTTTTTTTTAAAAAGTAATCTTCAGTCATAATTGGTTGAAGGTGGTCAAAAGGAACAAACTTTCAGTATGGGATAAACAAATACTGGGGATGTGATGTACAACATGATGATGATAGTTGATGCTGCTGTCTGGTGTACTGACAAGATGCTAAGACAGTAGTCATGTGACCTCATCACAAGGAAAAAAACTTTTTTTTCTTTTTTGTACCTGGATGAGATGACAGACATTAACTAAACTTACTGTGGTAATCATCTCATAATACACGAAAGTCAAACCATCATACCGTGTGCTTTAAACTTACACAGTGATGTATGTCAACTATATCTCAGTAAAACTGAAAGAAAAAAAATTTATCCACAAAAAACAATCTGTGCCAGGAGAAAAAAGTAGGTCAGGGACACAGATGACACAGGATTGCCTTCAGTTGGTAATAATTAAAGTCCGTGATGGGTACATAGCACATATATTTCATTATATACCAACATCTACTGACCTCTTGACTCTGTGCCAAGCGCTGTGCTAAGCACATGTGTGTTATCACATTTCTATCTTCACATTTGTGGACTAGGAACTGTAATTAGCTCCTCATTATGGATAAAGGGCAGATAAGGTGGCTACCACTAAAGGACAAAAGAGGTTGGGAGAGATCAGATAACTCTCCGAGGCTGTGCAGTGACCATCAGAGGCAAGCACAAAACCCAAGTATCAACATTTTCCTGGACTGGTCTTGTCAGGTTGCATTACACCATCCCAGGGGTTTCAAGGTGTGTGCGAGGGATTCCTGGCATCAAAATATTTTCATAACACCACCACCGTGTTATTGCCATTTTCCCTCATCCCCTCACAAGCATACAGTGATTTCCAGAGGCTACCTGACGTGGGGCGCCATCTTTGCTCTAAGAGCGGATACACTGTGTGCTTGTGTACTCTCATATTTTATAAATGTCTCAGCTTTCATTTCCAATATCGGTAGGCATAACACACACAAGCTAATGCTCTTTGTGGTCTTTGACACTTTCAAACCAAAAAGTTTGAGAGCGGCTGCCCTTCACTAATTATAAGACAAATGACAAGGCCAATGTTGTTTCACTGGTTTCAGATGAAATCGTTGGTAAAACTTCCCTTTCTCCCAGAAAAGACGCAGACAAATATAATTGCAAGGAAAAACGATCTCTTGGTTGGGGGGGTGGGGAGGAAATCCAGAAACTGATTGGTCAGGCTCAGACAGTCAGTACAGCCAGGGGGACTGGACAGAGTAAATTCGGGCAATGGCAACAGAAGCTGACAAGGGCAGTGACAGGGCTCAGGAATGGGCAAGGCCCAGTGGAGCAGGCAGGGACCAGCCCCAGGGTCAGCTAAGGCAAGATGGCAGCCCACCCAGCCAGAGGAATGCTCCAGATATTGAGTACTGGGAATTACCTGGTATTTTCATAATAAACTTCCCACCGCTAGATGGAAATGCTTATTTTAAAAAGTGGTCAGGTAATATGGAATTTGCTTTAAAAATAAAGGATGCAGTGTGGATTAAAATCCTGAATTCTGGGGGCGCCTGGGTGGCGCAGTCGGTTAAGCGTCCGACTTCAGCCAGGTCACGATCTCGCGGTGCGTGAGTTCGAGCCCCGCGTCAGGCTCTGGGCTGATGGCTCAGAGCCTGGAGCCTGTTTCCGATTCTGTGTCTCCCTCTCTCTCTGCCCCTCCCCC